GTTTGATCTTGAGGTTGAATAGATACACAATTTGGATGTAGACGAACGGATATATGAATGAATTCATTTAGATTTATTATAGATTTATTCATTTGATGATCTTTATTTTGAACAATTAAGTCAGGTTGATTATCACAAATTACATTATCTAAAACATGTATTTGAATACTGATAAGTGTACGTGATAATATTCGATTTTGAAATCGATCCATTAACCAAAATTGACCAAACTGTTTACCAAATTGATCAATTTTATATTTTAATTTACAATCATTATCAACATCTACAGTTAAAAACCCACTTGTATCTTCTTGATAAGGTGCGCATAAAATTTCGTCTCCTAATAAAAAACATTCAAGATTTAGTGCAGTAAAAATATATTAGTACCATCAATATCAAAAGCAAAGATTTCAATTGTATTTGTTTTATTAAATGCAACATAATAAGAAGCAGGAATATATGGATAAGGTGATGAGTTTATTCGAGTTAAATCAGTTTCAATAGATAAATTAAAATAAAAGTTTTTGAATGATGAATTTGGCCAACAGCATGCAGACTACGAGATAAAAGATTTTATAATTCTAATTTATTTTCAAATTGATACATACATAATGAAGATTTAAAGGTTTGAATCTTTCAACAATTAATAAAAACTGTCGTTTTAATATTGAATAACCATTCTTTTCATTTGCACCTTCGCAATATCCCGATATTTGTTGTGTAAAATTTTGACAAGCACTGTTATGTGTTTCACTCAAACATTTTATATTATAATATTGTTTATCTTTTTTCTTTGCCATTGTCTGATTCCATAAATAATCTTTTGTTTTATTATCATATGGAATATTTTCGCTGATAAGATAAATAATTACATGTTCATTAATTTGTTCAGATGTACAAAGAAAAAAATGATTTGATATATGAAAACGTATTTCAACTAGAATAGATTTATAGATTTTAGAATCAACGATCTGTGATATATGTTTATAAGTAAATGATCCACCAAGAAAATGTAAAGATTTTGTTAATGAAAAACTGTAAAGAAAAATTATGAAAGAAAATTTACATTTTATTATGAACATTTTTAGAAAGAAACGAAAAAAATGAAAGATTTGAAACGCGCATTATTTATTAATTGTATATAGAAGGTATTGCATTACTTTGTATTATTTTTCTCATACTAGCTGAATACAAAAATAAAATAATGGAAAATTTATTTCAATTATTCAAACTTACGATCCACAAACAACATGTCATAAAACACAATCGATAAAAAACTATATTGAAATTAGATTTCTGCTATATAAATACATACAAAAACAACAAATCCACTAAGACTAATTCCAAGTTCTATAGCAAAAACATCTGAATCATCGCTCATTATAACAATTTCTTAACAAAGATGAACATGATAATTAAGATAAAAAATAACAAGTTTATCGTTATATTGTTGAAGTATTACTTTTTTCCACTTAAGATGAATGAGAAGTATTTTTTAAGTTCTCTTACTTTTTGATTTAAAATATAATTAGTAAATTTATTTCTGAACTTATCACGAGATGAATTTATGAAAAGAATTTATAAGAATTATCACATATCTTTTAGATTAATTTATTAATGAATAAGCAACGATGTTATTCACGTTTTATTATTTTGCTACTCGAAAACATCTATAACATGGCATGTAATAAAATAAACTGAGATGATAACCACATTCGAACGTGAATGTAAAATGTATAAAATCCTTATCAGACAATATATACCTATAAATCAATTATAGTTCCATGAAACTAGATATATCTTTATCTGTGTTTTTGTAGGATCTTCAAGTAGAGTTAGTATCTATATTGAAACTGGAATAAAGTAACGTCTCTGTTTGAAATCTAAAATCTTTTATTCTATTTTTTGAATATTTTTGCTGGTTATAGATCGTTTTAAATTAATTATTGATTAATGTTGGTAATCTTAAAATATATGTATCTAATAACTATTAATTCTCTATCAATTATGTTTTACTGCTATGATGAACATAGAACATGCACGATACTCTAGAAAAGTTTAACGAGTTCTACGTGATGCACAATTCATTTTCGTTAAAGTATCCTATTATCTCGAAAGATAACCAATGCACTGGTAAAATAAGGTAAAAGATACCTTGGAAACCTTTTTTCATATAAAACCTAGATATTTCTGTATCAGTAATAATAAACACACTAAAGATCAAATGAGACTCTCATCATGTGATTGGAGAATCACAGTGTACGTCTATTTATTGGTATCAATAATCATTTAAATAGAATGACTAAATCATGTCGAGCTGCTCCTGTGCGTCGCATTATCTGCTATGCGAAGATTAGATGATACTTTCAAAATTTATTTTCAAGGCACCTGTATTGGGTATTTTAAGGATTTTGATAGGTATTTTGTGCTTGTTTTTGGACTGATCAATCGTATTCAAAATATGATTGGCCATGACACTAGCTTCGCATCAATGAATTTGGTTGTTTTTATTTGTTTCTTGCTCTTCACAATATTATTTTCAAAATTAACCAGGTGAAGTTTGTCGTTGAGTGACAAAAAAACACACACACACGTTCGAAGTCACTATCTACAAGAAGAAGAACGGTCATCTCTCTTTTCATTAAAACAGCAGCATTAAAATGAGCGAATCAAAATCAAATATTCGTCAATCACGACAACGTAGTGCTCAAAACTACCTTCTCGTTTGGGTAGATGCCAGCATCGACGAAACAGACAAAGACTGCCAGGATATATTGATGCAACTGAAGAACGTGGTTAATAACGTCAACCTATGCACTGAACCGGATCAGTGCATCCAAATACTCAACCAGGTTGATAATAAAAGAATCTTTGTCATAACATCAGACTCTTTAGGTCAATATTTGGTTTCTGAAATTCATGATATGTCACAGTTAGATGCAATTTACATCTTCTGTGACAACATATCCATACAACAAGAATGGTCACAGAACTGGACAAAGATCAAAGGTGTTCATACAAGCATTAAAGAAATTTGTCAAGCATTGCAATTGTCTGTTAAACAATGCGATCAGGACTCAATTGCAATAAGTTTTCTTCCGATAAATGAAATGGCTTCAATTGACAATTTAAATCAGTTGGAGCCAACTTTCATGTATACCCAGCTATTGAAGGAAATTCTCCTCGATATCCAAAATAGTCCTAAGGCAATGCAGAATTTAGTAGCTTGTTGTCGCGAAGTTTTTACTGGCAATCCAATTGAATTACAAGTCATTAATGAATTCGAACAGAATTATCTTCCCGCACGAGCAATATGGTGGTATACACGTGGGTGTTTTACCTATAAAATACCCAATCAAGCACTTCGAACTATGGATGTCGATATGATCATTAATATGGGCTTCTTTCTACGTGATGTACATCAACAAATTCAACAACTGTACGAACAACAGGTCAGCAATTATGGAGGAAAGTCGTTTGTAGTTTATCGAGGACAACGTCTTCAGCAATCAGACTTTGATAAACTTCAGAAAACAAAAGGTGGACTAATGTCATTTAATAATTTCTTATCCACCAATAAAAATGAACAGGTGTCTCTTGGTTTTGCTCGATGTGCTTCAACAAAACCGGATATGGCGGGCATTCTATTTATAATGACCATTGATCCTTATATTAAATCAACACCATTTGCCTCCATTAAAGAGTTGAGCTATTTTAAGGAAGAAGATGAAATTCTCTTCTCATTGCATGCCGTCTTTCAAGTAGGTGCAATTAAACAAATGGACCATGAGAATCAACTTTATCAAGTTGAATTACAATTAATATCGGATGATGATCAACAACTACGACTACTTACTAATCGAATACGAAAAGAAGCTCATGGTACTGGATGGGAAAGATTTGGTAAATTATTGCTTAAAACTGGTCAGTTTAATAAAGCTGAAGAATTTTACAACACCTTACTCGAACAGACATC